GGTATGCGTATGTAGTCTTATAATATTCCCTATAAAAAAAAAATCCTTGGAATCATTCTGAAATTATCCGATTTTTTGTTTGGCAAATCGATTCCGTTTTGAGGATGTTTATTGAATGTTATACGTTTTTTGTACGATAAAACGATAAGCATTTAATTAGACATTCTCAAATTTAACGTCCCGTAATGAAAACAGTATAAGAATAAACCCTGTTCGGAAAAATGAGGAGTTTCGCAGATCAATATGATACAGGCCGAATTTTATAAAGTACGTACGTACGTACGTATTGAATTTTAAAATGCGTACCCTACTGATCTGATGTTATATATATTAACGTTAGGATTAGGAATTATAGCTGATCAGTATGGTATGGTGTTCAATTTCGGCCTTTACCATACTGATCTGCTGTAATCCCGGAAAATCGACACCATTTCGAACAATTTTAGACCGAAAATTTTATTGGGATTTTATATTAGTCACCTGATCTTAAATTTCATATTGAATCTATTATTATTATGCCGAAATCACTAACTTAACTGGATCGGCCGAAAAATCATTCGACTAATTTTTTGTCAGGTGTCTCAGAATTTATGAAAACAGCTGTAATATTAAATGAGTGCGTGAGAGTGAAAACTTGAAAACCGATTTTAATGATTTACTACAGTATGAACGGTTTATAGGTTTTCACTCTCACGCACTCAAATGCGGGTCGGGCCATAGAAATTGCTAATTTGCAGACCTTTATTCAGTATACAGCACTAAGAGCCATATTAGCTTCAGGATCTTTCCACGTAAGATTTGTCTGAGCGCCCACAAAGATTTCGTTCTAAATATACAATTATGTCAATATACTGTATATGTTTTGTTGTCAGATTAGATCAGATAATTATACAGTATGACAAATATCAATTATCTATAGCGTTCCTATTTACTGCAAAACACTAATTATCTATCAGTGTTTTTTTTAACATACATAATCATTTAATGTGAAATTGCTATATTTTCGTTAAAGTCAGGAACGAACACGTGATGTTTAAATAGGCTGGTACTGTATTCTGATTGGTTACAGGCATATGATCAGACTTGGCTTTAGCGATAATTGTAACTCCAGTTGTAGACTAGAATATAATCGATCAGTCAATCAAAAAAAAAAATCAGTAAATAAAATCTAAACCGGTAAGTACTAGTTTAGATGCACAAATTTGAAAATGGTAACTAATAATTTTAGCAGAGTACTAAAGAAACAAAATAGAATACAAACTAAACCATTTTACAATATTTGAAACATTTCGCATTATAAGAATTAGAATATATCTAGTAATATAATTATCAAATTTGCGAATTTGAGCAGTTTATATTAATTACTAATTTTAGAGTTATCGAATTTCTGATATTGCTTGAAAATAAGCAAAATACTAGTTAGGTCCAGCTGGGAACACAAAATGTGAATGTATAAAAACGTGAACAATATTATTTTTATTTATTTATTTATTCATACATTGTTCGAATTTTGTATGTATGTATTTAATTAATATTATTTGGTTACATACATTGTATCAAAAATTTTCGATGATTTAATAATATTTGATTTTAATTTGCATGAAAACCCTTTTATTAGTAAGCTATGTAATAGAGAAGAAAGTTATTTTTGTTTTGTTTGTAATCACTTAAAGCATGGAAAATTTGAAGTCTTTGCAGGATCACCTATATATTTAACCATAATACGTATACGTACGTACTTACGTACGTACGTACGTATAAATTATGCTATATCAGTAGTCGATCATGTGGTTTCACATAATATAAACTAAATTATATAAATAAACTAATTGATCCTCCTCTCACATTGCACATTTCTAATCTTTTCAATTTTATTAATTTTGTTATTAATAAAAAAAAATATATAAAAATGACATCGCCATTTATAACAAGTCTTATTCGAGATTTAACACTGTTACTTGAACATTCAGAAAATTATGATGTAAAAATTCTAGTTGGAGAAAATCAAAATTCTCAAGAATTTAAAGCACATTCAAACATTTTATGCGCACGATGCCCTTATTTCAAAAGTGCATTATCAACCAATTGGGTTACAAAGCAAGATGGCTACATCGTTTTTTCTAAACCTAATATTTCACCATCAGTATTTGAATTGATACTTAAGTAAGTAATGCAAATACAATTTATTTATTTTATTTTATTGTATTTTTATTTTTATTTTTATTTTTTTTATTTTGCTTGAAATAGGTTTATGTATACAGGTATTTGAAATTTTAATACAAAAAAATTTGCATAACCTTGTAAGTTGAAAGTTTTATAACTCGTTTAATTAATACAAGGTGTTGTCTCGTTGGAGAAACAATCTGGAAGAGATATATTAAATTTAATGGTTGCAGCCGACGAATTACTTCTCGAAGAATTAGTTACTTACGTACAAGATTATTTAGTAACAGATCAATGTTCATGGGTACAACAAAATTTTGTTCAAGTTTTACATACAGTTTTTCGATTGAGCAATTGTAAAAAATTGCAAGATTTTTGTTTGGAATCTATATGTGAGGATCCACAACCATTCTTTATATCAAACGATTTTAACGAATTAGATAAAGAGATACTTTTCGGCTTGGTAAAACGAGAAGATCTAAGGATAGATGAAACAGAAATGTGGGATTATTTGATTCAATGGGGAATCGCAAGAACTCCAGGGTTAGGACCAAATAATAATAACATATCAAATTGGAATCCGGTATGTTTTGCGGCGTTGAAGGAAACATTGGAACAGTTCATGCCTTATATTCGATTTACGGCAATCTCACGTCCTGATTTCTATGATAAAGTTCGACCGTACAAACAGATTCTCGGTCATGAATTATACGAAGAGTTGATGCAATTCCATTTTAAAGATATAAAACCAAAAAGTGCCGATTTACCGGCAAGAATAGCATACTCCAGAATTGATTCCGTTATTTTAAAACCAAAGCATGCTGCGGTTATTTCAAATTGGATTGAACGAAAAGAATCACCATTTGTCTTTTCTAAAAAGAACGCCTACCAATTTGACCTCATCTATCGCGGTACACGTGATGGTTTTAGTAATGTGGCCATCATAAATAGATGTCAAAATTATGGTTCGTACGTTGTCGTCATAAAAATTAGGGGGTGTAATAAGGTTGTTGGTGGTTATAATTCTTTAGGTTATCGAAGAAGTATGAACAATACACAAGGCTTTCAATCAGGATTTTTGACTCAGATGGAATGGAAGTATAGCCTTGATAGTTTTTTGTTTTATTCTGATGATATGAAAAATATAAAAACAATGCATTTGAGCAGAGTTAGTACTCCTAATCAAGCGCATTACGCTTCTACTCACCATGCGGTAAATTTTGGTAATAGTGATCTAATTTGTAATGGTTTGTCCGGTTCTTGTTATAAGAATTATTACCAGTATAGACTTTTAGAATCGGAGTTTACTACCGAAGAAATTGAGATATTTGCTGTAAATTCTCAATAAGTCTTTCAAACAAACATTTTTTTTAACATTATATCATTAATAAAGTATTTTAATATGTATAATTAATGTGTTTTATTAAATAATAAAAGATCAAAAACATTGTAATAACAATCATGAACTTCGGTCTTTGTTCTTTCATGTATAATTAGTGTATAATTAGTGTATAATTAGTGTATAATTAGTGTATAATTAGTGTATAATTAGTGTTTCATTAAATCATGAAAGATCATGTACGTACGTACATTGCATTAATAACTGTTTATTTATTACGTAATTAAAAACAGGTGATGATATATTAATATTTATACTATATTTAAATCCAGACTTAACTATTTAGACTTTAATCATTACCTGTTTTTTAAAGCGGTGAATAAATTTTAAAACTTTTTTTTTTTACCATCCCTACTGTTTACTATTAATTAAGAACCCGTTTTTTTTTTTTTGTGTAAATACAAACTCCTTGTAATCTTTGAACACATGATACTCGGATATCATTCTAAATGATGACATTTCGGGCTTTTTATGTGTATACTCCGATTACTATTACCGAAATATTTCAAACTTGTCGCAATTAAAAATATACAATAAAATGGAAACAATAACTAATAAACAATAATATGCAACGGCTACCCTTTTTTTAATAAAAAAACGCCAGATTCATATCGATATATTAAAAAAGGCATTTATCATGTATTAACTAGGGATGTTATCCTGCTTGTTCAAACTCAGTTCGGGCCTGTTTGAAACCCAAACCCGTTAAACACATGTTTCTGTAATCACATGATTTTAATTAGGAACTTTTAAACTCAGTCTGCTCATAGTTAATTTCCATGACGTAAATGATGTAAATGAAATTTGCATTATTTCTTAATAAAAAGTTATGCTTTTTTAAAAAAAAATGTATCTCCTTGTAGAAGCATTTTCATTTACTATAAATACGTAATAATATATATTTTTTTTTTATCTTTACACGCATTTTTTTTTTATCTTCACATGCAACATTTTTTTCCTTTTATCTTCACACGTAACATTTTTTTTCTTTTATCTTCATACGATGAACGAAGAAAGCACACTCGAACAACCTAATAAAATAAATGAACTTACCACCACATCTATTTTGACATTATCACAGCATACACAACAAACAGTCCCTCAAAACGATTTAAAATTGATTCCTTCTGGGATGAGCTTGTTGAAAGCGGCGGCAACTAATATTGCAAACACTGCCCTTCAATGAATACAGGTCTTTCTACGATAAAACTGCATTTTAAACGTTAATCATCTGGATAAATGAATAAATTAAAAATCGAATGTTGAGCCATATAGATCTGAAGAAAATGTTGGCGCAAGCCTTAGTAAACGTGGTATTAATCGGGTATGGTTGGGTATGATAGGGTCAAAAAAATAATCATTGCAATGAAATATAATATATAAATATTGATATACTGTAATAAAATTTATTATATACTATATAATAAATAAATATACAGCAGGTTTTTAAATTAACATGTTTACGCATACATAATTAATAGTATATGTATATAAATAGTTTAAAGCAGCTTTGAAACCCAGCTTACGTACATATGTGTTTCCCAACAGTGTTCGAAAGGGTTTCAAAGCACAAACTAGTAGATTTAAGCAGGATAACTTCCCTAGTATTAACTCGGTTGAGTAAGCATTGATGATGACAAATTTGACGTTACTGCACACGTATGCCCAACCCAAAAAGTTTACAATATGGTAAGTCTTTTTATTGATAAATGAAAATTTTAGAAGCCTAAGAGATGTTCGTATTTAGAATGTTTTAACTTCAATCTTCCAATTCGAATATTCTAAATTCTACTGTTGATATAGTAAATCACAAAAAAAACATGTTTAAACCTATTTTGGGTATACTAATAGAAAATTTTAGGGAGAAAATCTCAATTTTAATCCGAATTTTAATAAGTGTTAGGCCTGTGATACTGTACGCTTTTACGTTTCCCCTTATTTATACTCGCACATTTGAACTAAACTCTAATATTCGAATTACGCAAAATAATACGTGTGAGCGGCCTAGTCACTTAAACCTTTTTTTAACAAGATTTATTATTTTAAAATATTATATATCGATATATATATATTAAAATTATTTATTAAAAAATTTTGATATTTATATATTTATCAATAATTTTTAAGGGTTATTAGAGTAGCCTACGTATATTAATTACTATATATACATTTTATATTTACTAATTTTAAATCATAAAATTTGTAATAATAAAATTTTTAATAATATATACTATTAATTTTAATTTATAATAACTTTTAGTAATCTTTTACTAACAATTCTAATAAAAATTTAAAAAATTTAAACGGTGCATTCTTTTTGTGCTCCTGATAATCCAATTAGTGTAATATATAATATAACCAATATAAAAATAAATTAATATAGCAAATATTAGATTAAAAGTAGAGGTTAAGATGAGAATTAGATATAGATTATAATAAAATTTAGCAAAAAATTTTTTGTTAAAGCCAAAATGGGGCTTTATAAGAAATTTTTAAGATGTAATTAATTTTAAATTTTTTGTTTTAAATTGATTTATATATTATATTTGACAAATTTATTAGCTAAATAAAAAATATACAAACAAAAAATATACAAAATATATAGAGTATATTTTTAACAAAATATTAAAAAATTTCATATTTTACTGTATTTTCATGTTAATATTGCCAATAATTTAATAGATGAGTGCTCTATACTTATATTTATTATGTAAACTCTTAGAGGTATATTATTTTAGAATGCACATATGCATTATTTTGAGTCAAATAGGCAATTTTTAAAAAAAGTGACAATTTCGAAATAATGCATATGTGAATTATTATATACAAATATAGTAATTAACTAAATATTTATTAGTTATTAGAATAAAGTTTGTTTTATTGTATTATTTTGTCTTGTATATAATATATTATACAAAGTAGACAATATAAACAACAATCTAGCTTTTCAAACTCAATACAAACATTTACTACAATGCAACATATATATATAATTTATATTTATTCATATATATATGAAGAATCTAATCAATTACATACCCATTCTAATATCTGTCCACCAGTTGGTCAGACTATATTTATTAAGCCAAATACAATATATTATTTAACAGATATTCTATAGAATAGGTGGGCAATATAAGAAATAAGCTTCGCTAATAATTAGGAATTATTAAATTTTAATATTGGAGTTGTGGAGTTGGTGGAGTTTGCCTGCCTATTCTATAGAACATCTCATTTAACTATATTTTTACTATTACCATTTAAGTAAGCTTATAATAACTCTAGTAGGTTTAGATCACAAATAAATTAGTTTGAACTGTATAATTTTATTCTTTATTTGGATTATTACAAATTATAATAATATTTATACAAGTTAATTATTTAGCCTATTATTACTATTACCCAACAAAATTATTAATAAAGATATAAGCAAGATTTCATCTTAATATCAAAAAATAAAGTAGACAATATATATATAATTTATTAAAGGCCTGCAAATTAGTAATTTTTAAGGTTTGGCTTGACTTACATTTAATTGATGATCCAGATAAGATCTGCAGAGTTACTATATTGGGACAATAGTAAATTTTGGGGATAAGTACAATATAAATTTTTATTATATGCTTCAATCTGAGTGGAGTCAAATGAAAAGTATTTTTTTTATTAAGTTAATGATATATGTTGATTAATTAAAAGTTGTAGAGCTTGTCAAGACACATCTAATGATGATTAGATCATCTAAATTGGCCTACTGAATGGCAAGTTATTATTAAAAATGATTAGCTAACTATATAAAATTTCAATGTAAACAAATATTGTTTACATAGAAATTCTATATAGTTGGCTAATTATTTTTTAATAATAACTGCCATCCAGTGGGCCAATTTGGATGATCTAACCACTATTAGATACATCTCGACAAGCTTTATAACTTTCAATTAATTGACTATATTGTTAACTTAATAAAAAAAATACTTTTCATTTGACTCCGCTCAGATTGAAGTATATAGTTAATATCATAGAAATTTGCACTAATTTCTAATATAGAAATTCTGCTGATCTTATCTGGATTAGCAATTAATATTAAAAATTTTTTGCTGCCCTGCCTAATCCAGCTTAATTATTTTAAAATTTAGATCTGCCTAGTTACAAATATATAAATTTTAAAAATTTTAAAACAATTTAATTTATAAATTTTTATTTTTTTATAAATTAGTTTAATTAATAATTTACTAATTAACCAAAGAGTAATTATAGTACAACATGATACAGATTATATATAGAAATTAGATTTTTTAAAATACAGTTAAACTTCTTTATAGTCATACCTTTAAGATACGAAATACTGTAATTATAAAGAGATGTGACTAATATAGAGGTATTGTCTATATACAGTCAAACCCCTCTATAGTCACACCTTCGGGATACAAAAAACCGTGATTATAAAGAGGTGTGACTAATATAGAGGTATTTTCTATATAGTTATAAATAATTGGTAAAAGTAAATTTATAATTATACAAATTTTGTGACTATAGAGGAGGTGACTATAGAGGGGGTTGACTGTAGTTATAAATAATTGGTAAAAATAAATTTGTAATTATATTAGTTTTGTAACTATAAAGTAGAGTTTCTATAAATTGTTTATCTATTTATCTATCAAATATCTGATATCTGATAATAAATGAATAATATAATTAAATGGATGAATATCTGAATAATCTGATAAATTATTTAGATCATATACTGTTTTAATTAGGTATTATAAAAAATTTTTGTACTTATGATTAATGATGATATTACTTTATTTCTCTACAATAAACTATTACATTTCTATGACTACATTGAAGAGACTAATTACCACATTCTTTGTAATTATTACTTATTACCTACTCTTATACAATTCTTTTATTTCTTCCTATTATAATATTCTTTTCATTTATTACCTTAGTCTCATAATATTTGTTTGATTAATTATTTCATTTTACTGTATATATATAGTAATGAAGTATATATAAAGAGTGACTTTAGCTGATGGGTAAAAGAGAGAAGTATATATATATAAAACAATAGAACAATCTTATATATAACTTGTATATAACTTGTGTCTATAAATAAAGGCTTTTATACATTATATAATAAAATACTCACTTTGTACAACTTATACTGCACTCAAAGCTAAATTGTTGAATACAATTATTACACTTTCAATTTTGGGTATAATACAGGATCAACATTTTATTAATCAAACATTGATAATGTTAATTATTCATAAGAACTTTATACTTACAATAAATTAATACAAACAAGTATATACTTACTCAATTAGCTAGATTAATACAAAACAAATAAGTAAATGCTTACAAACTTGAATCACTTATTTTAATTAATTAAAAGGTACTTTTATTTATACTATTCAAATTAACACAAATAGTAAGAGACACTGTTATATTTTATTATTTAAATGAGTTATTTTACTTCAAAAATATAGTACACTTTATTTGTGAATTCAATATAGTAAAATTTTTAAAATCAAAGTGAAAGTAAAACAAAGGTCAAAGTAAAAGTTAAAATGAAAGACATAATGAAAGTTAATATAAAATTAAAGTAAAAGTAAAGTTAAAATAAAATAAAAGTTAAAGTGAAAGTCAAAGTGAAAGTCAAAATCAAGATGAAAGTCAAAGCAAAAATCAAACTGAATATTATTTTTAAGCATAATAAACAACTTTACTAGCAATTAGTTTTGAAATTGATGTAAGTCTATTATACAATGAAGTTTTACAATTAAACTTTTACTTATATGATATTTTAATAGTTATACAAAGTTTATCATAGTTTAATATAACTATAGAGTCTACTTTAGCATAATAGAGGTTCGTTTTGATTGGTTGTCAATCCCAATTATCAAATTGAACATGATTGGTTGATATATCATGGCTTATAATACTTGTCATACAAAAAATCCTTTTTTAGCAATATAACAGAACCCAGTTGTTCATATAACCAGGGGATGTGTTTTTACTAATATGTTTTTTAGATACTAAGGCATCTTTTGAAACTTTGGAATCTCTTTGGATCAAATAGAAAAAGACAGTTCACTTATATGTAAATATTTAAAAAGTGTTAGTTTTTTTCAAATTTAGTAGTTAGCAAATTTCTCAGTTGCTTGCACAACCAAAGGTTTTTTTATTACTAGTACATTTTTTATGTTCAAGATATTTTTAATTTGAGTTAGATCAAATAGCTCAATTATATGTAAGATTATACTATATTAAAAAATGAATGTATCTTAAACTTGATGGTTTATTAAGATAAGAAAACTGAAAATTATATTATATTTTTAATTCATTACCATCTATCTACATTATCTAACACACTTTGTAAATTTATTACTATTACATTTTCTTGTACATCTTTATGTTCTTCTGCATCTTCTAAATTTTGAGACTCTTTTTCAAGTTCATCATTAAGTCTCTAGAAATGAATTAACATTTTTGAATATTCTAGTACTCTTTACAATATCAACAACCATATTCTATTTTGCCATAACAATGCCAATTAAAACCATGTCCACAGATCAACACAGTTCCATCTTCATTGTCACTCAATGTTTTGTAACAATCATTACAAAGGCCTGGTAAAGGAGGCATTCTGGTACTGTAACCCATTAGTAGGCACATAATATTAATATCTTTATCTAAAATGGCAAGTTTATATTTTAAAGGTCTTTGTTTTTTCTTTTTTTACTTTTTATTTTTATTATTCATTATACTAGAGACTGTGTTAAGATGTTGAAAGGTTTGACAAAAATAATCCAACAAGAATACAGACATTTTGTTTACTAAGTATTCTAAAGTAGAAGGGTTATATGGATATCTTTTTTTCGTATTAAATATTTTTTTAAATGGTGAGTGTTTATTTGTATCTATTTTTTTTTTTAAAAAAATTATTTAGTTATATTAATATTAAAGTTACTGTATTATTTTAAAATATTTTTTTTTTTAAACTTACTTAGAACACATGCCTGTTGAATAACATTTTCAGGACTATTATAAGCCGATGTATTTGATCGTATTTGGCTATAAAATTTTCAATGAAATAATTGTTGAAGTTTAAAAAAAACATTTTATAAACATCTGACATCAAATGTTTTTGATCTTCTCAATAAAAAATGTCTAACAAGAATACCAAAGGGGCCTTGTTATAATTTCTACGATTTCAGTATAGTACAAATATCCATATTCAAAAAATAGTTTTGATATATTTGTCAAAAGAATCAGAGCAAAAAAGGATAGCATATACATTTAAAGTTGCTAAAATAATGTTGTTGAGAAGATCAATTAGCATTCTATACTCAACGTCTTTACATATAGATCTAAATTTTTTTAATATCTTTACTTTTATTTTTAACCATCCTTGATAGGTAAGTTCAAGGAGAAGGTTTATTATTCACAGGTTTGGTTTTTTTGAAAGATTATTTTGTTCTTTAGAACTCGCAGAATTCCTTTGTTCTTTGGAGCCTGAAAGTTTTTTTTGTTTTCTGAAAACTATATAAAAAGTTTTTTAAAAAAAGAGTAATAAGTTATTATAACTTGCTCTTAACTATTTAACAAGACATATAGTGGATCTAAGATAGGCATAAAGGCATTAATATCTATTGATATTGCTGTATTTTGATTATGCAAGTA